CTGCTGCTGTGCACTCTGCTTGGGGGTTTGTCCCCAAACACTAACATGCACCCATAGCAAAACGTAGTCACCGAACCGGTAGTAACACTGGTTGAATCCCACCCCTGGTTAAATTATGCCATATCTATCTGAATTATACATGAGAATTATACATTCTTCAGTATCAGAGGTAGACTGTTTAGGGCTTAGCCTCACTTTATATTAACTGCAGCACAAATATGCCCTGTCAATTATTTCTATAGGACCTGTTTTCATGATTGCCTTATCCCCTGTGCATCTTGGAGGTATGATCTTGCTTCCATTTACCGAAGTCCACTACACCACACTTACAGAAGTGTGTTCAGTGTAGCCGCTGACATGGATGGAAGGGGGCATGAAGCCAAGGGAATCTATTGATTGCTGCTCGTAAAGTATAAAGACAAGATCGTTCACAAGCTTTATTACTGGGGTAAATTAGAGTTCAGGTGTCAGCATAGGAGAGTGCAAATTATGCAGATATATTGTTCTGCTCACCTGAGGACTGCAAGAATGTGCATTAACACTGCCAGGACTGTAAAACTCTCTTACCTAATAACATCCTCTCTCTGGCAGCTTTAACCAGCCCCTGAAGATTTCATTTTTATTCTTCCTAGCTTTTTATTATCTTTCTGCTGGCTCCATGGTGTTTTCAGGTTAATACTGCATTTTATTATAACAACATTTATAACATTTTTATAGTAAGGGCCCACATGAGGGCCTACAATAAAAACCAGAGTGGAAATAGAATTAATTCAGAGTCCTGGAAAAAAATCTGACATCTTATTTAATTCAAAGGGTTCCGCTCATAAAATAGGTGTCTTTAATGCTTTGCTATTATTTCTGTAGCTTAATTTGAAGAGGCACACATTTTATTATTGTATAATTTTTAAAAGAAAACCTTGGAGAGCAGACGTTCTGGTGACTCTTCATTTCCTCTTATGCCCAGTTCCAGAAGATGACAAAGTTGTGCGATGAATTCATTTTGTTCTTTGCTGACCTTAGATGCATAGGATTTGCTTTCTTCAGATTTATTCAAACATTTTCTAATTAGGATTCAAACCAAAGCAGAAATAATTTTATAGATAAGAAAAATATGACCTGTTATCATTGTTTGTATTAATTGTATCACGATACCATTATGTCAGACCAAGAATACATAATTTCATTAGCATATATCGCATAGTATATATCTGGTGCAGATTTAGTTAATCATATCCTCAACTGTGAATACACAAGAAAATAGATAGTAGAATAAGAACCAGTTTGGTGTAGTGGTTAACACAATCAGACTAGAAACCAAGAAAGGGACTGTGAGTTTCCAATAAAACTATAGGGACTAGTTTCGGTAGTTGTCAGGAGTCGAGATCAAATTCACACATAAACACACACACACACAAAACCAATGTATTTCTCTTTTTTTCCTATTCTAAAAAAAGTTGTGTGCTATTCAAGGGTGATCTTGCTCTTCTCTTCTGGTCTGGGGAATCAGAATGGCCTCTCCCTGAAAGCGATTCTAATCAAAATGGATCTGTCTGTTCACAGGACAATACTGTTTTTAGTTGAGGAAATAACTTCCATGGAACTCAGAGAAGACCAATATACAGTAATGAATTTCCTTTCTAAACAAAAATCATAATTATAATAAGAGTGCAAAAATGCTGTACGTACACAGAAAAGTGTCCTTTTCTAAAATGTTAATCTTATGTAATGGATATCTATATAATAAATTATATGTAACATAGAACAGGATAAGTTTCATTCATATAGTATTTAGTATTAATTAATTAATTGTACTGGCCAGTGGTGCGTTTCAAATATTTTTACCACCGGTTCAGTGGGCGTGGCTTGGTATGCACGCTTTGCATGCACGCACACACTTTGCACATACTTGTGTGCCAAACATGCACTTTGCATAGGCACAGAGGCCTTCTGACTCACCTCCTGCAATCCTGCACTCTCCCGGTCGCTTCAGCAGCTGCCGCGCAGCAATCTGCTGTGCCATGCAAAGCAGCTGCGCTTCAAAAGCAGGGAATAAAGGTTAGTATGGAGCCCGGGTGGGCGGGTAGGCCCAACAGCAAAGCGTCGGAGAGAACCAATTGTGTCTCCACCGCTCATCAGTGCTACCAGCTCGGCAGAACCAGGCAGAACCAGTAGAATACCACCACCGTCACTGGCAGGGTTGTTATACATACCATCAATAAATAGGATTGAAAAAACAGTAAGGTTTCTTAAGTGAGAGCCTAGAATCTACAATACTATTTCAATAACTTCTGCAGGATCTTCTCCCAAATGCAACCAAAATAAAATTATGCTGACCAGTATTATAAAGCTCAAAGAGAGTTGATGATCAAGCCCAGCGGTGGTATTCAGCAGGTTCTGACCAGTTCTGGAGAACCAGTAGTGGAAATTTTGAGTAGTTTGGAGAACCAGCAAATACCACCTCTGACTGGAGATTTTACAGTATCTTTCCCCTGCCACGCCCACCAATCCATGTCCACAGAACCGGTAGTAAAAAAATGTTGAATCCCACCACTGATCAAGCCTGCCAATCATTAAAATGAGTTCATGAACATACACGAACTGTTCCTCTAAGAGAGAAGGAATTGTTTCCTGGTGCTCTACTTTATGTTTTCACGATGCATTTTTTTCTGTCCATGGAAAAATATGCCCTTCCCCCCCTCCCACCCTCCATTTCATTCCCTAAGTTTACCAAGATATTAAGGCTGCTTCAGATTTCTGCAACTGAAAATGTCCTGTCCAAATGAGAGCAAAATCTATTATCAAAAACCCACTTATACTGGGCACACTCATGAGGCTCAGACTGATGAAGGCAGACTGAAGTAGAGAAATTTATTGAGTTCTAAGCAACAACCCTGGAATGAGGGAGAAAATTGGCCTAAGAACCACTTCATCATTATGAAAAATACACTAGTGGAAATTAGCAGAAAGCGGTTCCAACTATGCAACTTATCTAAGAGAAATTTCAGCAGGCTGTCTTTAATCGTTAACAGTTTATGAGATCATGTAGTCATAAGATTTTTTAAAAAGTTTCTTCTAAGTGTCAAAAGAACCCAGCTGAGGTTCCAACTAAGGAATCTGTGCATGTGCTTTTAATAGGGATTAACAATGCATCTTTTCCCTGCACACTTCAACGCTGTATTCAAAGCTTCTGCTAGGCAATTTACGTTATTGATGTTCAGACCTAACAAAACCTCGTTCTCCTCTAAGAAAATTGATGTCTGCAAAAAGCTTGTATAAATGATGGTGAACCTTTATTCTTGATGGGGCAAAAAAGCCCAGGACTCCTTTTAGTTGAAGCTAAAACTTTCTGAGAATAAAAGCAGCATTTTTAGATTTTTTTGCTGGGCAACTTCTGCTGACATAGTTCTTCAACTTCTAGGCCAGGTCTGCACCCCATGTAGAAGATCAGGGGTCCCCAAACTTGGCAACTTTAAGACTTGTGGACTTCAATTCCCAGAATTCTCCATCCAGCTACATAAAAGATAAAGAGCCCCAATTAAAAATCATCAGTGACCACAAAGGAATCAATGATTTGGCAGCTAGTTGAGCAGCTGCAGCTCCAGACTTGACCATGAAAATTCCTGGAGGTTTTGAAGGCACTTGGGAGTGTGCCTTTTAAGAGGGTAGCAGTGGATCTTTCTTGGTGGTGATGGCATTTGGTGGCAAATTTACTGACTTTTTTTTTAAAAAAAAGTGTTCGTGGGATACCGTAGAGGACCTAAGATGTAAGGTGGGAAAGATGTGGCCCACAGCCACATGTGGTGGAGGCCCACTGTAGTCTATTATACAGAAAGGAGTGGGTGGGTTCATGAATCAACAGATTCTCCCAGAGATCCTTCAGATTCAGATTAACAGAGTTGGAAGGAACTTGTAGGTCATCTAGTCCAACTCCCCACCCAAGCAGAAGACCCTACACCATTTCTGACAAATGGGAGTCCAAACTCTTCTTGAAAGCCTCCAGTGATGAAGCTCCCAAAACTTCCAAAGGCAAGCTGTTCCATTAGTTGATTGTTCTCGCTGTCAGGAAATTTATCCTTATTTCAAGGTTGAATCTCCCCTTTATCAGTTTCCATCCATTATTCCTTGCCTGGCCTTCAGGTGCCTTGCAAAATAGTTTTATCCTTTCCTCTCTGTAGTAGCCCCTCAGATATTGGAACACTGTTATCATCTCTTCCCTGGTCCTTCTCTTCACTAAACTATCCATACCCAATTCCTGCAACCGTTCTTCATATATTTTAGTCTGCAGTCCCCTAGTCATCCTGGTTGCTCTTCTCTGCACTTTTTCTAGAATCTCGACATCTTTTTTATAGTGGGGCAACTATAAAATTCAATAATTCAGTAATCCTAACCTCCTCATTCTAGGTATTTTGGAAACTAGAGATACCAATCCAATTAGATGTCACTAATACATTTGAATTTGTTTTTGTCTGATTTTTTAATTATTTATTTATTACATTTTCAGGCCACTTGACCCCAGCTTACATTTTAAAGTAAAGATTTAATGCAACAGACAAAAAAAAGATCAAATGCATCCAGAAGAAATAAACATCACACCTGCTCTTCATGACAATCTGGTTAAAGCAGTTCTTTCAGTGCTTTAATAAGTACAGCTTCTGGACCTCCTGTTTTGAGCTTCCCCAAAGACAGACCGCTGACCGCAATTGTGCGTGGCTTTGGTTCATGCTTCGGCATCAGACAGCCCCAATCCTTTGGATTCAGGACAGAAGCTGCCTCGTAGGGGTGGCAGAGGAAGGGGAGACTGTCAGCTGGGTAGAGGGGAGTCGCAAATCCCCTCCCCAGTTTGGCAATTGCTCCCTCCAGAAGACATCTGAAGCGGAGGTCTGAAATGGCCACCCTGAAGGGGAAGATTAGACTGGAATAAGATTGTGCAGGAGAGAGAAAGAAGCGAACATCAGGAGGAACAGGACGATATAATCAAGTGGAAGATACCCCCAGGATTAACATTTCAAAGAATCTTTAAGAAAAGATTTAAGTGGCGAAGAGAAAGAGAAAAAAAAGGTGTGAATTGCTTTTGACAGTGTCGGGGCTTTGAAACCTCAAAAGGTAGAAGCTGGAGAAGGAACTATATAATCAACTTGGATAAGTATATTTTGATTTTATATTGGCACTAATAAAGCTGAACTATAGACTGTTAAAGTGGAAATTTAATATCAACTAGATTTGATCTTTTTCTCATTGGAAAGTTGTGGTTTAAAAAGCTCTGAGTAATAGAGAAGAAAAAATAAAAGAGGGGGTGAAGATTTAGCATAATAAACAGTGCCATCTCAGTTAAACTCAACTTGTTTTTCGTTTAAAAAACTCTTTTGTTTCTTGAAATTGCATGGAAATTGATACAATAAAGCAAGAACTTTCAAAAATTGAAATATTGTAACAAAGAAAGAAGTAGGAAGATTCTGCCTTTGGATTAATTGCTGATTCTGACATGGATTTGGCTCTGGGTTAGTGGAGACTTAAAAACTTGAGAGGAAGAAAAGTTGACTGTTGGAAATAAACTTTTAAGATACTATTTGGATTAAATTGCGAATCAGAAAGTTGTAAAATGGCGGTTTCTCTTCTGGCATTAAAAATGGAACTCAGAAAAATGAAAGAAACACTACAAGAACGAGGTGAATCGCTGGGTTTTGCTTTAAAATGTATTGAAAATGCGACAGCAGAATCTGAACAACAAAGACAAAAGGCAGAAGAGGAGGAGGAGCAAATCATAGAAGGGGCCATCTTTAGTGACCATCGAGAACAAAGAAGTCTTGAAAAAAAGAAGAAAAGAGTTGGAAATAAATACAGGAGATTTAAGAAATTAAATAAAAAGGGGAATATCCAAAAAATTAAAAAAAGGAAAAAGAGTCAGCAGAAATTCAAAGGGAGAAAGGAAGCTATAAATAGAGAGAGGAATAAAAACTGGAGTGAAAGAATAAAGGAGAAAAGACAGGGGGCAAGAAGGGACAAGAAACTGGATTTGGAAACAAAGAAATATTAGAATTGTAAAAAAAATGGGGAAATGCTG